CATTCAAAATTCCGTCATTTACCCGGACTAGCATCAAGGGTTAAGTTGTGGAAGCAAGTAACTAAATAACTGGTGTCTTTGTAGTTAAACTTACAAATTCTGATGTCCTTTTCAGTTGCCCAAAGCTGGATGTCGGAAGTGAGTTCTTCAAGATTGAACCACCTAAGAGATTCGCTTCAAGACATTGCATAAGTTTAAAACGATAAGTTTAAAATAGCATCTGTAGGCCCTATAACGTATTGTAACTTAAATAGGTGGTAGTTTGACCTAATATATTCGTTTCTTCCTAATTTTTCCGTAAATTTCTTTCGTAAAAACTAAGCAGAATTGATGAAATTTTGAAAAAATCCAAATATTTGCATATTTTGCACAAGTATTTTTTTAAAATATTTTCTCTAGGTACTTTTTTACATTTTCTCTATTTTTCGGTTTCCTAATAGCTAAATCGGAATATTACTTAAAGAAGAAAAGAACTCATCAAATATGGCAATTTTCATTGAAAGTCTTTTTTTTAGAAAATGGCGTTTAAGCGTTATTGTAAATGCGAAATTTGAAGCTTTTCTTCACAATTTTTTTTTTTTACTATTCGAAAAACTTCATTTAAAGCCATTTGAGATATTAACTAACAAATTCAATAGTGTTTAAAAATCGCTGGAAATGTGTGTATTAACGGCGTGAGAGAAATTTCAAAATAATAAATTTGTGAAATTGATGGAAAAAAAAATCAAAATAAACAGTAAAATTAATCTTGTGTGATCTTAAACTATGAAATTAACACTACCAGTTGGAAAAATGTAAAGAAAAAAATTGGAGCCATTTTTGAGAAAATGGCGTGTGAGCCTTTCTGAAAATGCGGAAATTTGAGTTCATTTTGTCAGAAAGTTGTTGCATTTCCGAGACACTTTATATTACATTATTTAAAGCACTTCTACAAATGGATACTTTTTTTTTGTTGAGTGGACTTGCACAAGAAAATACTTTTTTGTGTTGACAAACAATTTAATTGAGAACAGATAATGTATAACATGTGACGGCGGTTGTTGTTAGCTATCTGTCGTTAGTTAGCTGCCTGAACGATTCTTCATCACCGAGCTGATGATTTTAAACTAAAGTTACCACTCAATTTTGCCTCGATCAGGAATTGAATCCTACACCACGGGAAGCTAGTACGCTGCCGGTGAGCCATCCTAAAAACGTACAATGTAAGTTTATAAATATAAAGTGAATTACGGCATCGCAGTGACCTCGTGCGATATTGATTAAAGGAAATTGAATAAAAACTCAGTAAAATATTGAAAGAATGACATATAGGTCATGCATGCTCCACAAAACATTTTAGTTCATGTCTCTTACATGTATCGCAATCCTCAATAATATTAAGTAAAAGAAATTATCAAGAATTTTATTACTTCGATTTAGTTTCTACTAGAAATGACAGTTTCAAACCCTATAAGGGTTTTTGTGAGTACACTCAAAAGTTAATTGCTCTTTAATGGTAGTTTGAAAATAAATTGTGTGACGTTTAGTGCTCAAGGCAAGATGAATTACAGACCATTACTATATCAAAGTAGAGAACTTGACCTTCTTATTTTATTTGTGATTGAAAAACATCAAAAAACATAGTTATGAAATTATATATGAGTGCAAATCATTTTTTTCACATTATTTTGCAAAGTACGTGGACTGTTCAAAAATTAATGATAAAACGGACCCTGACGAAAAATGTGTGGCGAAGGATGGCAGCACTGAATACCATCGTGTAAACTATGCGTTTAGCCAACAACATTATTAATTTCATGTAGACCGGTGTAGTATTTGGCTTTTCACGTAACGTGTGTTAAATATTCACCATGACATGTCCAGCACGGATAAAAACTTAGAGCAAATTAGCAACGTGAAATTTTCGGTGAAACTCGAAAAGAACCGAAAAAGCAGCTGTCGCTATTATTTGCGAAGATCGACAAATGACAGTTATAGAGATTGTCGCAGTCTTAAACACTTCAATTGGCACGCATTTCCGATTGTGCACGAGGATTTGGCTATGCGAAGCGTATAATGCAGATGGGTGCCGCGTATCTTGACAACACAAGGCCGCACGTCGCGCACACTGTAGTGGATTTCTTGAACGCTCGAGCCATGGCATCTGTACCCCATCCACCGTACAGTCCAGATTTGTCTCCTTGAGGCGTCTACCGTTCCCTGAACTCAAGTTTCCGGTCAGAGGACGGAAATTCAAGGACAATCACGAGGTCGTCACAACTGTGGAGGCGCGCTGCAAAAGCTCAGGAGAGATGGCCTTTCGTGTTCAAACAGTGGCACGAACGATGTCAAAAATGGATTAGAACTGAGGGAGGTTACTTCGAAAAAGAGCATGTAAATTTAAATGAATTAATAAATATTTATCTTCGGTAGAGCTCTTAATAATTACTCTTTGAACAGCCTATGTGGGTTTATGGGGGCCACAGTTTATAGGGGTAGATCACTATGCACTAAATTATTTTACACATATGGCATTTAGCATTTACCATTTACAACCTTTTAATTTTCATGAACCAAGCGAAGTAGTTCCGTGGGTAGCACGCTGACCACGCAATCAGGGGTCCTGAGTTCGAGGCTGAGGCCGTCCATCCTGACCGAGGTTTCTCGTGGCTTCTTTTGGTCATCAAGACTGGAATGGTTCATAAATGCCACGATCACCTCCCACCATCACACTTGCTACCTTCCTCCATCAACCTAGTCCATTCAACCCACGTCACCCTATCACTTCATTGAGCGTTCCCTGCAGAAAGGCAGGAGGCCCTTGATTTTAATGAGATCGTAGTTGACTAATAATAATAATAATAATAATAATAATAATAATAATAATCTAAAATCTAAATAAACTGTAACCATTCGAAGCTTCATATCTGCATTACATAAGTTAACGAAAGGATTTGATTTTAATATAATTTTATAGCATATCCCCAAATCAATTTTTTAAAAATATACGTAGTAATATACGCAGTGTACGGAAAGTTATGTAATGCGTAGGAAAATTAATATCGAGATTTCAACGGAAATACACGTTTTGGGGTCTCTAATTCCGAAAACGTGTTTTTTTTTCAAAACGCCCATCCATCTCTAAGCCTGTCCACCTACCCGTCTGTCTGTCCGTGTGCCCGCCTCTCTGCCCTCCTATCTGCACGTCTGTCTGCCTGTGTGTCTCTCTGCCCATCAGTCGATGCGCCCGATCATCTGCCCGTCGGTCCGTCCGTCCGTCAATCCGTCCGTTGGTTCGACTGTCCGTCAATCCCTCCGTCGGTCGTTCAGTCCAATCGTCGTTCTGTCAGTCTGTTGCTGCGTCCATCCATCTGTCCGTCGGTCCGTCCGTTGGTCTGTCTGCCCGTCGGTTCGCCCGACCATCGGTCCGACCGTACGTCCATTGGTCCGTCCGTCCGTCAGTCCGTTCTACCGTCTGTCCGTCCGTCCGTCAGTCCGTTCTTCCGTCTGTCCGTCGGACCGTCCTTCCGCCTGTCCGTCCATCCGTCGGACCGTCGACCCATTCGTTCGGCAGTCCGTCAGTCGGTCGGTCCGCCCATCGGTCTGTCCATTTGTAAAAACTGCAAAATTTATAAATAATGCGTGAAAGTAGGGTAACCAGTATAGACGCGGGTACCAGTATAGTGATGTGCACAGCAAGTGTAAGAGTGTTAAAAATAAGATTTTCAGAGGTTGGAACTCTACACGTAATCTCTGAATCGTGTATGTCACTGAATATGACTTCAATGTACCCTTGTACTGAGCGTAGGTACACTTCAATAAAAAGTGGTGTGTTCCAAGCGTCGTCTTTGCCTGTGTCGTCTAGAATTTAGAAATATTTTGAACAGTGATGGGCACTGTGCCGTCACTGAAATTTGAATATGCCCATTACTGTCTCAATAAACGTTCTGGAGTTAAATGTTATCACTAGAGGCGGACTTTTTTCCCGCTGGATGGTCACAAAAGTCACTTTACTTTTCAGACAACTGAGCTCGGTTCTGAATTACAAATAATTTTAGAGTTCGTAATAATGTTCGTGGTAAAAAATAGTGCAAAGACGAAGTATTCTGTAATCAAGAAGTCCCTATTTATGCAATCGACTGTCCAAATCGCATCTTCGTATTGTCGGTTGAGGAGAAACAAGGGGTGTTATGAGTTAGATATTCTATTCTGTATATACGAAGTTAAAAATGCTTGAGACTATTTTTACTACGAAACAAATTCAATTGAACGGAATACAGATAATTAGATTCAGGAAGTATTACTTCTGTCTATAAAGGTTACAATTATGGTATTTTTTAAAAGTGTTTTTAGAAGATGTTTCTGAAATCAATTTTATTATGAGTGCTGTTTGAAGCCATGTAAGAATAACATTTTCGAGAGACGTCTAAAATATTTATACTATTTAAATTGAAATATTATTTTATTGTTTTGAAACATTTACAAATAATAAATGTCAAATTGTAACACAAAATATTTTAATATCGATCCTCATAAAACATTTTCTTACATTTCTATTGATTTAAAACAAAATACGTATTAGGACGTGACAATACATTACATTGCATAAGTTGACATGACATAGCATGACATGTCTTTTCTCAGCATAACATACTAACTAGACAAGGGATAACAATTAATACGGCAAGATACGATATGTGGATGTGAGAAATCTCACACGACAGAATTTTAGTTCGGGGAACTTACGACGTCCAGGAGCTTTAAATTTTGCAGAGCAGGCAAAAAGATTTTAAGTTCCGGACAACGGTCATTTTTTTCTTAACAATAATAGTTGAAGGACCCTCTACAGACGTCACAGAGTTCACGGACAACGAACTTTTATGCATAAAGAGTGTAATTTATATTTTAAGAACAGTTTTCCGCCGGTAACTCAAAAGCGACAAAATGTGACATCGAAGCTTTCTGCATGCACCGATTCAGTTGCATTACATATTCTGACGCTGCTCTTCTTCCATGCGCAGTCGCACCCGTCATCAAAGTGCCGAACCAGCTGCTGGGCGCCCCGCTCGGCACCGACGTACAGCTCGAGTGCTACGTGGAAGCCTTCCCCAACACCATCAACTACTGGGTGAAGAACCGCGGCGAGATGCTGCTCGACGGGTGAGTGAAGGCCTTCAGCTCATCGGGCGCATCACGCGAAGCACGCTCGTCACGCCTTCAAATGCTTTACGCTCGTACCCTTTAAGCACTTCACCTCTTTACATTTTATGCCCTTTACATCCTTTTCGTTCTTTACATCCTTTGCGACCTTTACATTTTGTACGCTCTTTACATTCTATATACCCTTTACATCCTATATGCCCTTTACATCCTTTACGCCCTTTTCAGGCTTCACATTCTTTACATCCTTAACAGTCTTTACACTCTTTACATTATATATACTCTTTACATCCTATATGCCCTTTACATTCTGTATGCCCTTTACATTCTGTATGTCCTTTATACCCTTTACGCCCATTACATCCTTTTCGTCATTTACATCTTTTTCGCTATTTACATCCTTTACACCCTTTTCATCCTTTACGCCCTTTATATCCTTTATATCATTTATATCCTTTACGCCTTTTACATCCTTTACGCCCTTTATATCCTTTACGCCCATTACATCCTTTTCGTCCTTTACATCCTTTTCGCTATTTACATCCTTTACACCCTTTTCATCCTTAACGCACTTTAGATCCTTTACTACCTTTACATTCTATATGCCCTTTACATTCTTCACGTGCTCTGCACCCTACACGTTCCTCAGGGCCTTTACGCGATCTATGCCTTTTATGCCCAAAATACTCTTTACGCTTTGACTTAGGCCCTATGCTCTCCATTCTCTTCAAGCCCTTTACACACACCATTTCCTCTACCGCCACCCTTTCGAATAGGGGCGATGACCATCAAAAACCCTCTCCCTTTCTCCTCAGATCAATAGCTGAAATAATTAGGTTTTAACGAAGGCTACATAAATCGTTCGACTACAAATGTTCCCGACGCAGATGAATCTTCTCTGATTGGAATGCTGTAGGAGAGTTCTCATTATAAAAAAAGTCATTTCGTGTGAAGTTGCTAATAACAACTGCAGCTGAATCCTAATTTTCAATTACGGCTTAAATCAACCCGTTTAATTTAGAAAGGGAGGCGTTATTTTTTGATCTTTCTTTCATCGTTCGCGCAGCAAAGGAGTGCCTGAGATAGAGCGTTTTTCGCGGCCAGTCCGGCGCTGGCAGCGAAGTGCTAATTGCAGCAGCCAGTGAGTCGAAGGGTCGCGGGTTCCCTTCCGGTGCAACGACCCACGGGCACGCGCAGCTCAGTGCAGCCTGCGCAGCCAGCGGCCTGGACCAGAACTAACTACCGGCAGAGCTGCGTAACGCCTTCCCGGTCACACCCCTTCAACAATGCTTCTAACGCTCCGTACCCGCTTTAAGCGCTTCACCTCTTTACATTTTATGCCCGTTCCAATCGTCCTTTTTCTCTGTGTCGTCTTAACATCCTGGGCGCCTTACACTCACGTACCGCTCTTTACAATTTCTATATACCTTTTACATCCTATATGGCCCTTTAGATCACCTGCTGAGGCCTGTTATTAACCCATCCTCTACGCCCTTTTCCACGCTCTTCAACCATTCTTTACGATCCGTTAACATCTTCTACATTCCTTCACCATTATGTATTACTCCTTTACACCCATATGGCCCTTACATTTCTTTATGCCTTTATACCCTTTACCGCACTTCACTCCTTTATGCCCATTACATTATCGTCCTTACATCCTTTTCGCACTCTTTTATCCTATTCCCTTTATTGCCTTTTTCATCGTTTACCTGCCTTTACATCATGTTCTATCAATCACTTACCTTATCTACAATACGCCCCTTTACATCCCTTTACGCCTTTATCATCCTTCGCCCCATTCACTCTTCTTACATTCCTTTCATTTACATCCTTTAATCCTTATCATCCTTACCCCTTACTTATCACTGTCCTTTACTACCTTTACACCCTTTAATCTCACGACATTCTTCACTGTCTCTGCATCCACTCCACGTCTCCGCAGGGCCTTTCTACGCGATCTATGCATTTATATGCCCACAGAAGACTCATTTACGCTTCTGACTATAGGCCCTAATGCCTCTACCATTCTCTGCAACGCCTCAGATACACACCCACATTTCCGATACTACCCGCCCACCCTCTCGATAGGCGGCATAACCATCAAAATACCCCTCTCCCTTTTCCTCAGCATGCAATTAGCTAAATACATAGGTTTAAACGAATGGCAGCATAATCGTTCGACTACAAATGTTCCCGCGCAGATGAAATCCTTCTCTGCATTGGAACTGCTGTAGAATTCTCATTATACAAAAAAGTCATTCGTAGTTTGGAGTTGCTAATGAACAACTGCAGTGAATCCTTAATTTTCAATTTACGGCTCTAAATCAACCCTTTATTTAGCAAGGGGAGGCCTTTATTTTTTATTTTCTTCATCCTTCGCGCAGCAAAGTGGATGTGCCTCGATAGAGAAATTTTTCGCGGCCAGCCCGCGCAGCTCGGCAGCGAACTGCTAATTGCAGCAGCCAGTAGTCGAATGGCGCGGGTCGCCCTTCCGGGATTTTTTGCAACGACCCACGGCGCTGCGCAGGCTCAGTGCCAGGCTCTTGCGCAGCCAGCGGCCTGTACCCGAACTAACCCGGCCACAGAGCCTGCGGTATTCGCAGTTAAACATTTCTCGCCGTTCCGGTCCGTTTGCCTCACACCTTAGATAGTCTCTCGTTAGTCATATCATTACCGGGCGCACTGAGCGTGCCCGCAGAACGGTCGGCCCCGCGCGGAGCTGAGTCGGTTCCGAACCACTGAGCGACAGGCGGGCAGCGCGGGGCAGGGAGAGGCGATGGCGTGGCGAGCTGGAGGGCGGGGCAGCTCGGCGGGAGCGGCCAGGGACGGGCATCGGGCGGAGGCGTAAGTAGGTGGGCGGGGATGGCGCCTCACCGTGGCGTTGCAGAGACGAGGAGAGCGCGCCGGGTGAACGGGAAGGCGGGGCGAGAGAGGCTAAAGAGGTCGTGAGGCGTATGGCAATACCTGGTTCAGAGGCGCGTGGAGAGGGGGCTCGGCCGGACAGAGAGGGTGGGTGCGCGGAGTGGTCTGAAAAAGCTGGAGATTGGGCGGGGCGAGCGGGCAATGCTCCCCGAGAGTCGCTAGAGAGAAGAACGTCGCCGAGCAAGGCAAACTCGGCTGATGTATAGTCACTCCCTCTGGGAGGGCCAGAGAGCGGCGGGAAAGGCATTCTCGACTTTGCGCGACGGAAGGTTGGAGCGCGCGGAGCGAGTTGTGGTAGGGCCAGGCGTGCTCGGAAGGGGCGCAAACAGGGCGGGGCGAGCGGACTGGCCAAAATGGCGAGCGTGGCGGCTGGACGAGGGCGGAGAGAGGGGCTGAGCGTGAGGCGACAAAGGGTTCCGGCGGGGGTAGCAGGGCTGGGGCAGGTGGCGCAGGGAGACAAACCCGTCGGATTCGTGGCGAGCGGGAGGACGAGGCGGGCTCGGCACGGAGCTCGGCTGGATCAGGAGCAGGGTGGGGCTGGAGTGGGATGGCGTGGGCGGCAAGGGCCAGAGAGCGAGCCATGGGCGACTTAGGACGAGAGGCGGGTTGGCTTTCCGGGCGGGGCGAGTGGGGCGGAGATAGGTTAAAGCGTCAATGCTGCGTGAGGTTGCCGTCTCGGCGGCGCAGACCAGTTGGCGGCAGCGGGAAGCGGCGGCAGGCGTAAGGGCGGGCGGAGAGAGGCGAGTGTCACTCCTGGGGCGGAGAGAGATGTGGAAGTCGTGCGCGAGCGGACTGAGCCACAGAGCGCGAGCGGGGAGGTGGCGGCGGCTGGGCCGGGCCGGGCGCGTGGAGGCGCACGCGCGGCCAGGTAGTCACGCAGACGGTCAACAAGATGAGTTTCTGCAAGTGAGAGGGGGGAAAGCGACGGGCGCCGTCAGAAGCAAGGCAGAGCTATGGCAAACAGCACGAAAAGGGTCAGCATTAGCCGCCGGCCTTGCGAATCATTGGGCCGAGTAAAGGATTCGCGCGAAATAAAGCAAGAGCTGCGGTTCGCGCGAAAAAAAAACATCAAGAAGCGCGCAAATTGATCAAAACCCTGGGAAGACATTTGCATCACCAAAGTCGGTTTGCAGAGACTATCCTAGCTTTGCGATAAGCAATGTAATGGAATTAATGAGTCAAGTTAATTAGTAAAAGAAAGCAATCATGAGTTATTAGGTTGATGTTTACTGATATGGAATGCGAAAATAGGAAAATAAAGGGACGCTAAAGAAACTGAGAACGAAAATCATAATATGAGAAGTCGGTCAAAAACTCCAGAAAGAAAAAAACTATGTTTGTTTTATCCCAAATTTAAACAACGTTTTTGTGACGTTTTAGAAAGAGAAAACACATTTAATATCCAGCTGCGGGAAAGAAAGTTAAACATGTGAAAGATGATATAGAAAAGAAAGAAACTCTGGGACAATTTAAAGGAGACTAAATTACTGATTCGGAGAGACATGATGCGTTCAGGATGGTAAGAAACAGAAGGATGAAAGCAAAAAGAGGGGCAACGTTCGAAAGGTATAAGAAAGTTGTAAAAAAGCCAAACTATCAAATCGCAGCAGGTAAGATAAAATTAAAAATATAATTACTCTTACAGAGATCATGTGATGTAACAAACAGCCGGAAAGTCATCAAACTGTGACGTTTTCTAGGTGGGGGAGAAAGGAAGCCGAATGTCGTCGGAGGCAGAAGCAGAATAAACACGGGGCAAATAAAACAGTATAGTAATAAAATAACAGTAAAGTTCAGAAATGGAAGGAGAATGGAGGGGAGAAAACCAGGAGACAGGGGCAATGCAACTGCCAACAGACACAAGCAGAGGACATGGAGGGCCGGTGCAAGCAGAGATTCACCACTGCATAAAAATGTTTGTTAATAATTAGTGGGGGTAAAACCGTTATACATGAAACCAAAGAGAATATGGGAAGAAGATAAAAAATTAGAGTTAGAACAAAGGGCGAAATAGAAAAACATGTTAAAACTGAATATAAGTTTGATCACTGAGAATTATAATTCTTTTTGCCAGCGAAG